GTTCATAACTTCTCTAAAAAATATAGCAAGATAACACCGAACAATTTCTTGGCTCTGTGCAGTTTTCACAAACCTCTTTTATTAAGTGGCAGGCTTTTAATAAGTGTACCCACTATCATTGACCCAGGTGTATAACCACATCAGAGGAAACTCTTCTCCAGGACTGAGGAGGGAAGGCTTCACTTGCAAACATAAGTCAGTGCTATGGGATTTGTAATAGCACATAAATATATATATTCTTCAGCTTGTCAATAGCCACTCCATGGGTTTACCAAGACTCAATTCCAGGGCAAATGTTAGCCGCAATAATATGTACAAGGTAGAAGTACTGAGGAAGTGAGCTTTTGGCAGTTTTAAGGAAAACTCTGCATTTGGTCTTCTAACTTAATTTCTGTGGCAGATGTTTTGTGCTTATCCTAAGAAAAGGCACAAATTTAATTACTAGTGATGGCTTATATACAGCATATCTGTGCAGGGGTTCTGAAAACAGAGAAAGTTTAAAAAAACATGTAGAAAGGAATTATTTTATAAACTTTGGGCACATTTTGTATGATCTTAAACTTGTTCATTCTAGTAAGCTCCAAAGGCTCCAAAAGTGTGACTGTTTGTAGAAATGGAGTTACATATATATAGCAAAGGTGAATCTGGATCCCAGAAAAAGAAAGCCACATGAAGTCATGGTACAATGAACACATTTCTGCCGCTTAGCTGTTTAGGTTCCACTTACTTGAGACAAGTGCAACAGCACATGCAGGTTTATTGCAGGGTCTAAATAACCAGAACTTACATGCATTCCCAGTCCTGTGATGTGTCAGCAGCAGAGCAGCCTCTCTGCTGACATCTACCCTGGCACAGTTTGTTAGCAGAATTACTCCCCACCTTGAAAAATCTGATATACGTCTTGAACAGGCTGCAGAGGCCATGTCTGCATGGTTTATACAGCGCCAGTTCAACAGCCTGGCAGGTTTGCCAGGTGAGTAACGCTGCTGTGGGCAAGCATACATCTGAACCGCCTGTGCTGTCTGAAATGTAGAGATGGTTAATGGTCACACAGCTGGAAACAGAAGCAATAGATTGCCTTTGCTGCATACTGTAAGTGAAGTCCTTAAGTGTGATTCCTATCTCCTGCAGCTGTCATTTTATGTTGCCTACAAACAAAGGAAGACAACTGTGCTTTAATTACCTGTAGACCTTATAATGTATTTCTTGGCAAAGATAGATTTGCTTTATATTTCAGTAGTGCAGAATATGCAAGAGACACACAAGTAAAACAGCCCATGGTTTTCACACCAAAATTCTAAATATCCTTCTAACCTGGAGTTAGGGGTAAAAGTAAACACTATTAAAGGGTACAGGTGTTGAGCACCTCTATGTATTGAGGAGATAGGATGTAACAGGACAAGTGTTTATGTCTCAGTAACTGGGGACTGTAAAAGAAAAAAGAAGAAATATTTAGCATAGGACATTCTACCATATCTAGGAGTTACAGTGTGAGAATCAACTCAGGGAAGAAAAAGTATTCTCTGCCCAACAGGAAGTACTTCTTCTGTGTGAATCATTAAAAACCTGCCTCCCTAGGAGGTGGTAGGATTTCCCTTGCTGTGGGTTTGGATCTGGGCTGTATGACTGACAGCAGGTAAAGAAAAAATCCTATGATTGCTAAGGAGGTTCACTAGGTGATTGCCTGCATACTTGTAGGCTATGCTTTCTGGTTGCTAGTAGGTAGTTGTTAGCTGCCTGGTATTTGTAGAAAACCTCATTAGAATGTTTGGTCAAGTCAAGCTATTTTGCGACTATCAAATAACTTATTAGTAATTGAGAAATTAACTTTATTAACTTTATTCTTATTAACTGTCTATATAATTTATTCTTATTAACTGTCTATATAATTTCTGTCAAACATTACAACTGAAGTATTAAAATATAAGCAAGATAGCTTTGCTTTTTTGCTTGTAATTTTTTCAATGTCATATTTCAGACACCCAGTTGTGAAACTGAAATATTCCCTTTTCAGGTGTTTTTTCTAATACACTCAAGAATACATTTGTAAGAAATCTGTGTTGAAACACAAGTCTTCTGTATGCAAACACTTAAGTTTTCAGAGGCACATGAAGTCAATATGGGCCCTGTATAAGGAGTCTCTCTAGTTTGTAAATCCAGCCCTAGGCTGGAATATAGTGTTGCTCGTGGCTGAGGAGAGTGCTTTGCCATCCAGTGCTTTGCCTCCTCCTTTGCATCTTCCTTTTCCTGGTTCTTCCTCTTCAGAAGTAGGAAAGTAGCCTCTTTTCAGGGGATTTATTTTGTTCATATACTTCTTAGCCATGGCCCATGTTATTTGAACAAAGTACTTCAGAAGGGCATGTGCAGTATGGCTTATGTTCTTCCAAAGTAGTGACCTGCTTCCATACATGTGCCTTGACTTTCAGGAGAACAGGGTCAGCCAAGACAAGTCACCACTGTGGTTATTTTATAGTGCAGTATGCATACAAGGATGAGAGAGGTGGGCTGGTTTTGCTTTGTTCAGTATTCTCTGCTCTAAGGGTCAGTCCTGTCCTGTGACATTAAATATTAGGGGGAACGGGGGGGGGGGAACGACGACTAGTTGTTGGGGGGGGTATTTTTTTTTGCTTTTAATTATTATTGTTTCTATTTATTTTAGATTGGAGTTTAAAGGAGATTGCCCTCTGTAATGATATAATTTCTTTTCTGTCTTTTCTCTGCTGGATTGCTTTCCCACCGATGTATTTGTGAGCAGGAGCCCTGGTTACACTTAATCATTAAAAAGTCATTGTTCAAACAGAGCTCTGAAGAAAAGGAAATATTTCTTACTGCGTGTTACTGAATATTAGTCATAATGGGTTTTGTCTTTGTGTCTTTTTTTCTTACTTTGGGAGCTGGGTGTATTTTATAGTACATTGATACAGGTTTTTATATTGTAAGAGATATCAAGTAATAGAGAAAAAATAGGAGACACAAAAAAGAGGAATTATGAACATTTTCTCCAGTGTAAAAGTTTTAGAAAAGCATTACATAACTTAGACTGCACTATTTTTTAAATGGAAAGAGTGGCCAGGTGAGACCCAAGTTTGCAATGCATTCTAACCAGGTTACTTCCATTTACTGAAATATGGGAAAATCCTCAGAGTAAACATGTACCATGTAGGTGTCAGGTTTTTTGTGTCTTGCTTTAAAACATGCATTTACAACAGAATAGAGGCATTTGTGATTGCCAAACAATCAAAACTGCACATGTACATATGTACCTATTCTAGAGTTAATAACAAAAAAAATATGCATTTGAAGTAAATTTCAACTATATTATTTTCAATTTGTATGAACATTGGGAGAAATGCTGACCATGAACATGTCAGTCTTGTTCAGTTTTAGCAGAGCAGTCACTTTGCTGGGTTTAATTTTCTCCCTGAAATAAACCTTTCAATGTATAATTTAAAAATAACAAAAAATACCTTTGGCTATTAAATAACATGTCCTGTGAAGTTTAGTTAAGCCCTTCTTTCAGACACGGAGTCTGTCAACCTGCTTACATTGTGCTTCTCTAATCACAGATTGTAATATTATTAAAAAAAGAAAAAAGAATCCCCAACAGAGCAGATAATGTATTAATTCATCTTCTGCCAGTAGCTTGGCTGTGAAAGTACTGAGCTCCAGAAAGCTCAGCTCATACTGTGGAGGCCTGAAGTGCACTAACCCACGGGAAGTATGGGCAGGATGGGGTGGGACTCTTCCTGACACTTGAGCTGTCTATCTTGCAGCTAGTGCAGCTGTGTATAACTTCACTAGGGTCAACAATGTAGTCAGCATCATCAAGGCTGTGTTTGTCGTCTTCATTTTCCCATCACAACTGAAGCAGGATGTAGAGCAGGGCTGTGTAGTACATGGCCCTTATGGCCTGAACCCTTCAGGAAATATGTCCTATATTCTTTAGGGAAAAGCCTTCCTTTTTTGTTTCTCTTTCTTTTACTGATCCCTTCAGTTTTACATTTTGTGACTTTTTTTTCCTCAATTTCCTGGTGTACTTGGACAACAAATGCCATTTTGGCTAAAGTTGTTTAATTATTCATGCCATCCCAAACTGTCTTTCTAACACATACAGCTCTGATGGTGAATTTCCATCATATTCACTGTAAAGTATTGACTTAAATGGGATTAAATTCTGCATTGGTTCTTTACCCTATATTTTGTTTGGGATGCCTCTTGGGTGTTGTTTATTGGTTGTGATATATACTAAGACATGTTTCTTTCCTTCATTCCTCACATATTACTTACAGAGACCTACCTTTTTTTTAGAAGAAGTGCACATGAATTAACGTCTTTATATGCATTTGCAGTCAGTACTTATTAAACTTATAGTTGGCAGCTTCTAGACTGGCAAAAAGAATCTTCAGGACCTACTGGCTCTGTCATCCATCCATTAGTGTGAGCAAGCAGAACACAGTAGCAACTTGCAGATATTTTAAACACTGCAAATTCTTGTGTCTTTCAGGACCTAGATTTCTCATCACATCCACGGGAGCCTTGTATATTTTAGACGTACAGAATGAAGATGGACTGTACAACTACCGATGTATTACAAGGCACAGATACACTGGAGAAACACGACAAAGCAACAGTGCAAGACTTTTTGTATCAGGTGCTTCTTTTTATATCATGTTAAATCAAGTATTGTAAACACTTCTCTTTAGTGTGTTAAACTGGCCAGGAATGTTCTCATTCCTGGATGCAAAATAAAGTGCCCCATTTTAAAATCCTTCCCACCCCCCCAGCCAGTTTTTCACCTCCTGTTAGATATTCCCAGAGAGCCTGTAAGAGTACACTGGCATTTAGTACAGTGATTTTTTTAGTATTAAAGTCCTTTTAAAATGACTGTGGATGGGATTCATCTCATTAAAAGTAGACTTCTGCTGTGAAAGTATCTACTCATCTTACCTTTCCTTTGTCACCAAAGTTGAGGAACACTTTTAAGGGCCAGTGTAGCTTACCTACTTCAGCTGCCCACTTTGGGGTGAGATGAATTGCCCCATGGTGCCTATTTCTCTATTAACCATAGCAGGAGTTCAGGAAATTTAGCTCAGCTGTAGATATTTCCACTGCAGGAGCCTCAGGCTAGCTGAGGTGCATTTCAGCCTTCCTTTTCAATCATCACACTCCTTCCCTGGGGAAAACAGTATATTCCCCTGATTTCAGAAGGGATCTTTGCCAGAAGGGGTGCATGACCCATCCTAGTCCACCCAGGTGCTGCAGGCAGACAGGAGTTTAGGCAGTGGCTGTTCATGGGCAGAGCTAAGTGTCCCAGGGCAAAATGTTTTGTGCAGCAGATAGATAAACAGGAAGGTAGATGGGGTATTTTAACTTCTACTTGTAATTGTAAATTATTTCCCTATTGTTGTGTGCGTGATGGACTGTTTGGTTCCCTCTGCACACACTCCAAAGACTTTGGGCCATCCATACAGTGCTGCTCCAATCGCACCTTCTCCCGACTTTGTCTTGGGGAGCTGCCAGTTGTGGGAGAGGTAAAAAGGAGGAACAGATCCCAGAACTGCGTTTGGAACTAGCTCTCAAACGTGTCTGTGTAGGATTAGCTCTTCTCCATCTCCCGTTCCTCTCCATCATATGCTGAGTGTCTCTAAGTGCACCCTATGTTTGAGTATGAGTAGATCTGCAACTACATTCCCACATCCATTGAGTTAGCTAAGACTATATTCCAGACTCTCTGTTCTTTTTCTCTGTATCCTTGCCTTACTGAAAACATGCCCAGCATCCCACTGAAAGCCTCACTGAGCTTCTTTTCCTTTTCACTGTTGTTAAATTGCCCTAAAGATCCTAACCCTAAAGATCAGTCAGTGTATAGTGACCTTCACAGTCCAACAGTCAGACTCCTTTTCTCCCCCCCCCCCTTTTTTTTTTTGGCAGGAAAAAAACCCATAATCTAGTAATTAAGTCTCAGCTTTCCACCCTCTGTTTGAGAGCCCTAAAGGAGGCAGACGTGGGCACGAGGTTTTGCATTAGTAACATACTTCCTGCCCTCCTCCAAGCTGGTGATTGCTGAAGGATCCTGGAGCCCTCTGAACACACAAGTCAATACTTAAACATACTAATGATAAAAAAATCAGTGTGATTGTTCAGGTCAGAATCACTTACCAGGTAGATCCAGGAGATTCTTCATTTGATATCTGTCCCCTGTGAGTAAAACTCTTGTCTCTTCTTTTCCCAGCCGGATGAAGAAGTAGTTTTCTTGAACAATAATCTGCCTGCTTTGGTCTTATAAGGATAGGCAGGGTCCTATCCTTCTAGCTGGCTCCACAATATGGTCTGCTTCCGTATGAAATCATGCTAAGGCTGAGCCAGTGGTAACATAAATAAAATCAGGCTTGTATCTTGGTTACCACAGGAAAATTTCTAGTTATTTCACTGAACAAAAGGGGGAAAATGAAAGCTCTGTCTCCTTTGTAATTCAGGACAAGCAGACAAAAAGATGTGCTCTGTCTGGAGTTTCCTTGTCTATTCTCTGCCACAGACCAAATCAATATAGGAAATTTTACCTATGTGTAATAGTTGGCATTTTTAATTCAATGGGGTTAGTTATTCCCTATAAGAACTATAGTGGGCTCTGATTTCAAGTCCTGTTAGTCTTCTGAACAAATGCAGCAATTGTCATTAGAGCTTGTCTCTTAATATTTCTCTAACATGTTTTCTTTTTTCTTTACTGTATATTTTTAAATAGTCCTTTAAGAACTGAGATCAGAGAATCCATGAACATAGTTGTGAAAGGACTGCTTGCATGAGACCTACGTTTTTGACTTTTACATTTGTAAAATATTTGGAGATGAAATAGTTTGTGGTAGGTATTGATCATAGTCTCTTGGCCACATTTTTAACATTAGTTAAGCTTTGTTATTTTTTTAAAGAGTGAGAAAGGTAACATAGATGTAATAGCAAATACATGTGAATAATTAGTATGCTTATGACCAAAGCAAAGTTCCAAATTTCATTTGGAGTAAGAATATCTCCTTGAAACCATGTGGCCTTCCTAAATAAAATTAAAACTAAGGTTATTAACATGCTACAGACTATTCCTCTAATACCCATTGTGGTGTGCTTTTCCAGAAATAATTTTGTCCACTGGTGAATCCCAGCTCCCAAGAATTTTACCTCTTTAAACCCTCACCCTTCAGAAAATCATGATTTTGATAGCATTTCTTGCTCTGTCCTTCAAAGAAGATCCAAAGTAGAATATTTTAAAATAGTATTTTTCCTCATTTTTTTCTGCTGTTGTCCTTGCTAGTAGTCATTTGCAGCTGGCTGTTAAAGCATAATAAAATAATAATTCAAACGAGTGTGTACTGTGTATTGGAATCGGGTTATGAGACTTCTGCTATTTGCCTCATTGAAGGCGATTGCAAATGAACCCTGGGATTTCTTTTGGTTTCTTTTTTCTTGTTTTTTTTTCTTGGTTTTTTTTTTTTTTTTCTCTTTAACTGAAGTATATAGAGTGTAGGAGCTCTAAATAGGAGTCTGCTCCAGGTACATCCCAAAGAGATGTTTCTACCACCCATTAAGTGTGTAAGTACAGGGTGCAGGAAAGCAGGTCACTGGAATCATATTTTAAGTAACCCTGAATTTATTTTAAATACCTCCTATATAAGAGCCAGCTCAAGGCTTGTCAAGGGCATAGGAAAATCTCAGTTTAGCTGGTCTGCAGATGGAGCACCCACGTTGAGGTGGAGAAAAAGTGAAGCGAAGTGACCTAGGGACTGGTGTGCTGTTCTTTACAGGTAAAAAGGGATCTGTGCTTTCCACAGCATCTCTTGCCATAGCTTCCAGCTCCTAAGGCACAGCCTGCCTGGCTTCCTGGGCTTCTGCCTAGGCAAGGGCGCAGAAGGGCAGCAGCTGATTTGCTTTTGCTACCAGCTTGTTGTCCAAGGTGGTTTTGCACTTTGCTTGGGCCTAGCATTGAAGCATATGCAGTTCTCTGCCACAAACTAGGAAGCTGTCATAATGTGATATTTACTGCCCACTACTTTTCCTTACCATTGCTTTAACTCCTTTCCAGTGGCCCCATCCCGTTTTGAAGTCCATGCAGTACTTTGTATTTTTGTACTTAATGGTTTGCAAATGGGAGCTCATAAATCCATCACAAAATCTTTTGAAGTTAAAAGCATATGGAGACGATACAAAGCTGCTGTGAGTTTTGACTAGGAATGCATAGACAATACCTCTAAAAGTCAGTTCTACTTCTTTATTATTTAATAATTACTTTCAATTGAAGAAATTGATTTCATGTAAGTGTAGCTTTCCTGAAAGCCAGAGCTATAATTTCTTGCATGCTTATGTTTTTTCAGAGTTACTTCCTCAGGCTGCACAGAAGAGCCTATGCACTGAAAACATACATGCCCAATGATCCAGAAGGCAAGAAAGGAGCTGGCTAATCAGTCAAATTGACATTGGCCTTCCCAATGGCGTCCTGGCAGATTGTGCTTTCACTAAGCCAGACATAAACGGCATGACATCTTGATGCCAAATATGGAACTTGAGGCTACTGATGCATGCAAAATCATTTGTTTAACAACTGGCTGACACGTTTCTAATGAGACAAACAGGAAGTTTCTGTAAACTGAATATGGCTGTGATGTCAATGGCTTCACTTTTTACTGGCACCTAGAGAGCAGAAAAGCCTCAGTGGTCATCTTTCATTGAACTTGGCACTTAGGGTTTTATCAAGATATTCACTTTAAAATTTATTTAGCCCATTTGTTTGCCATCACAATTTTAGTTTCTGGATTGATGATAGAACTTGCACAGTGTGTCTAGCTATTTGCTCTCAAGTGTACCCTCCCAGGTGTGACTGCAGTTCATGAAGATGTAGCTAAACTAGATTTAAACTAACTAGGCTCAGGTACTGATCACACATTTGCTTGAGTAGCTTGAATTCAACAATTTAATCTCTTCAGCTTCTAAAAGGAACCTTCTACAACTACCCTGTGTGGAGTACGTGAGCTAGCTAAGTCAAAGACCACTTGAAAATGTCAAAATAGTTACAATTACACCTACAGCCAGGCAACTATGTAGGTATACCCAAAGAGATACGTTTGTCAGATAAAAAGAGTTGATCAGCCTGTGGAATTTCTTTGTGATACAGAAGTCTCAGTAAACTGGGTGTGATGAGAAAATATTTAGATGAATATTTGTTGATTTATTGTTCAGTGCTTATGTTGCAGTAGCTCCAGAATGGGCTTTCATCATACTTTTCATCATGCTGCACAAAACTGTAAACCATGTCAGCTTCTTCCTCCAAAAGTTTTGAAATCTGAAAAGCTGAAATCACAGAGTACATTTCTGGTGGGGTACATGCACCTCTGCTAAGGCATAGACATGGACAGTAAGCACATGACTGGAGACATCCAGTATGGCTTCACTAAGGGCAAATTATGCCTGATAAATTTAGTGGCCTTCTGTAATGGGGTTGCAGTGTTGGTGGATAAGGGAAGTGCAATTAACATCATCTACCTGGACTTGTGTAAAGCATTTGACACTGTCCCACATCACATCCTTATCTCTAAATTGGAGAAACATGGTTTTGACAGATGGACCACTTGGTGGATAAGGAATTGGCTGGATGGTCATACACAAAGAACTGTACTCAATATCTCTATGTTGAAGTGGAGACCAGTGACAAGTGGTGTTTCTCAGGGTTCAGTGTTGTGACTGGTACTGTTCAACATCTTTGTTAGCAACATGGAGAGTGGTATTGAGTGCACCCTCAGCAAGTTTGCCAGTGACACCAAGATGTGTGGTGCGGTTGATGCAGGGGAGGCAAGGGATGTTTACTGTTTGATCTTTACTGCGAGGGTAATGAGGCAGTGGAACAGGTTGCCCAGAGCAGTTATGGATGCTCCATCTCTGGAAGTGTTCAAGACCAGGCTGGATGGAGCTTTGATCAACCTGGTCTAGTGGAAGGTGTCCCTGCCCATGGCAGGGGGATTGGAACCAGATGATCTTTAAGGTCCTTTCCAACCCAAACCATTCAATGATTCTGTGATACACCAGGTGCTACACAAGTGTGTTGGTCTCAGAGCTGTTTTTATGAGTAAGTTGAGTACAGAAACTTGGAGTATTAGGTGGTAAGTTGGTCTTGTCATGTTAATTTCTTTTTCCAGGAAGGAAGAAAAGGTATATCTATCAGTCAGACTGCAGAGAGAAATTCCTGTGTCTTTGCCTGTTTCTCTCCTGGCAAGGGACTATATTGTTCCTTTAATTCAAATCCTTTAGACCACGGAAAAGCACTGAAAACATGTTGGCTTCATTTAGTCAAGTAGTGATGGAATATCAGTAATAATTGTTAAGGTCACGCATTTCTGGCTTTCCATTCCTCTTATAAGGGAGATGAAGGATGACCAGAGAAATGGTTTCCACCTGGAAAAAATCCATCAAGAAACTTTCTAAGTAGTCATGAGGTGCTTCAGTATTACGTGCTGCTGGATCCCAGCCATTATGGCTGAGATATTACTGAATAATTGCTGGGTCATAGTAGCAAACTAATATGAAAAACACTAGGCTAGATAGTAAAAAAATGCAGGAGAGAAAAATACTGGTATATTGCTTAGCAAGTGAAAGAATTTTAAAGCTCCCATTGAAAACTGCTGTTTATTCTTTCAGATCCAGCGAATTCAGCTCCATCTATTCTAGATGGGTTTGACCACCGTAAAGCCATGGCAGGACAGCGAGTGGAGCTGCCTTGCAAAGCATCAGGGCACCCCGCACCAAAGTATCGTTGGCTGAAGGATAATGTTCCCTGGGAGCCTGACAGCAGGTTTCGTCAGACAGTTACAGGTCTGCTGATAGAGAACACACGTCCCTCAGACTCGGGCAACTACGTCTGCGAGGTGTGGAACAACTATGGGACTGCTGAGATGATAGGGCGACTGTATGTAAAACGTAAGTCCTGGAGAGAGTGAAGACCTCAGAGCACTTCTTGTCTGGGTTTGCATCAGAGAAGTTGTTGGCTTGCCTTGCTATATCTCCTGTTTTGTTACTTTATCTAAACAGTGCTTTCTTAAGTTGTGGAGCGACAGAAAGTAGGCTCTGTGGAGATGAGTTAGTTGGACAATTGAGCGATCAGAAGTGCAAAGAGATGCAATTTCTTATGTAACTATATAATTTATCACATGGAGGATATGTAATTTAGAAGCTTGAAGTGGATGCTTAAAAAGAAATTGCAAATGTTCTCATGAATAAAACTGCCAAACTCTCATTGCGATGAGTCATGCTGTTCAGTAATATTGAATACTCATACCTCCCCTCAGTTGAGTATTCATGTGTGAATATTCTGAATGTTTCACAAATTCTACAAAGATAATTATTGCTCAGAAGCACTGCACTGCAAAAGTGTTATT